GAAAAGGCATATATTTTGAGAGGTAATACAAAAACCTCAAATGTCATTCAAAACTATCTTAGATAATTTTTTGAAATCAACGTCTTTGTTGTAATATTTGTCAAGTTAATCCATTTAATTTTTTATAGTTAAATCTTTCTTTTACATTTTTTTATAGGCTTTTGTTGTAAGAAATTTTATACATCGTGAAATCAAGGAAGATTCGGAAAATAATATGTCCCTGAAAATCTCAAAAGAGTTCAGTTTTCCCTGGCGACTTAGTAGCCACTCATAAGTCTTATCATACCTGTTATAATAATACAGAAGTCAACTGGTAATCTCTTGGATATACGATAAATAAAAGTTAAGATGGAACGATGAGCATTTCGAAATATATCATACTGTTCAAATTTGAGCGGAACTGACAATAGCAGCAACACTTTCACATAGATTAATACAAATCTTTATTATCGCCTTCAAAATAAGTTCCAGAACCAATATAAACATCTAAATACTAAATCCAAAATTTCATACACTGGTTATAATCCGCCGCTGTGATGGTCTTCAGTGCCTTCAATATATTTTGGTTATCTCGGTTTCGGCTCATTTTCTGAGTGTCATTCGTTAGATTGTTCGATATTTTTCGAATAAACACACGTCTCGTCATTATGCGTTTGATGAATGTAGGGTCCTCAGCTCAGTTGAAAGCATCTATTTTGCGATCTTGCAAAAGATTGAGGTTTCTCTCTGCTGACAACGCAATGATTTTCAAGTACTATTTCTTTAACTTTTTTGTTGTTATCGCCATTAACAGTGATGAATGGATGACCCGTATGAGGCAAGTTTTCGAAAGCCGAAAGCGGCTTAAAATTAGTAGGTAACTGAATTTTTTGTTGTTTAAGTCAAGCCACACACCAAGTATTGAGTGCAGAATTAGGTTAAAGGTGTAAATTTTCAGTTACCATCACTAGTAAGGTAGCTCACTATTTGTGCGGCTGCTTCAGATACAATTTATTTTTCACCGTACCTACCACACCCAATTGTAAAAACCAGCTCTTTTTTATGAAGAATGTAGAAGAGCGAAGACGCGCACCTAAAATTAGGAGAGGTACTCGACTAAAATTATTAGCTTCACGCCAGAAAAATACAAATAATCTCATGCTTGCGAAATGAAAAAAAATTAGACGTGGTCGGTCAATGATTGGATTGATATCACGGTTTCAAGTATATAAAGGTTATTTTTTGTGACGTGCCGAATTTATATTTATTATTATAAATAAGTTCCAGAGAACGCAATCTGATCGGATTGCGATTGCCTCTAAAGATTGTCTTTCAAATATTTCCTTCAAAGTTCTAAGCGCTATGGAGGGGTTTACCCTAAACCGTTCAGTGTAGCAGAGGATTATAGCACCTGTGGGAACTAAGGCGCTTGCCAGCTGATAAATGCGGTTAATGGAAGTAGAAGTGTTGCAAAAAATCGCCATTAAGCTAATTTAAATGAGAGAGTGCAGTTAACTCAGTTTTGCAATAGTTTTAATTTTCGCGCACAATGCGTATAAAAAACTTTATATGAAATCGGTGAAAGTTCAACAGTTCACGGGACCAACTACGGCAAGTGGAAAGAAAAACAGCACTTTAACGCAATAAGTCTTACATTTGCCTGGCGGAGGCCCAAGCGCAGCCTTAATGCGCTGCGCGTCGTATTAAACCAAACGGAGCGGGAGAGCGCAGTAAGCAGGCTATGCGGTGAGTGCTCTTAAGTGTTTACGCGCCGCACACTAACAGCGGCTGCGTGAGGGCGCGAGAGCAGGAGACAATGTTAAAATAACGCACTGAATTGCATTTTCAATTTACTTATCTGCGAGCAATTTCCATGAATGGAAGTGACTTTGTGCGGAGCGAGCGAAATGCCAACGTGTCTTACAAATTTGATTAAATGTCGTTCGCACCGGAAGTGCTGCGGTTGCGTGTGATCACGCGCCAATGACTGAATGTGTGTGCTCGCATGCACATGTGTTGATGTGTGTGTGCGCATGTGTCATTGCGCTATATGTCAACTGACAACACCTCATTTGCAATTAAAGAATGAAAAATAAATAAAATTTTAGCGCGACGCTTCACTCACCAACTTGAAGCTCACTGCTCTATGCGCATATATGTAGATGTGTTGTTGTGTGTTTCAATACACATGCGAACTGATGCAGTGGCATTAATGTCGTTGCACGCAGCACCGCGTGCCACTAACGGCACTTGGCGTCATCAATAATCAATAAAGATGCCAATATGGAATAAAATATATGCACGAGCGAGAGGCGGAAAACCAAAGAGGTGGGGGAATAAAATAAAATAAAACTTTCGCCTGACAATATTCCACTCAAAGGATAATTTGAAATTCCTTTTTTCGGCTATGTGCAGCGAGGACACAAAATTGCTATGTCGCAAAGACTGTCGTTCGGCAGCCACTGAAAGTTGACAACTGCCAGCCTTGCCAACGCAAGCTGTTGCAAGCCGCTCACATGCCCTGTGCATATGCAAGCAGCCGGTGTATGAGTATGTGGCTATGATGCCACTTTTTTGCTTTTACATATTTGGAAATTCCTTTTCGTATTAATTTTTATTGCAATCTTTTGCCTTCGTCCCCTTTTGGCATTGGTGCACATGCCTTTGTGCGGCTGCCACGCACAATCGCTGCATCTGCATAACTAAGTGCAACGGCGCTACCACTACCAACACCCGTTTTACAAGCCGCCGGCACTTTCAAGTGCCAATCGCTGTGGCCGTGTCAGCAATTGCTTTCAAGGTTGTAGCCACCTTGTACCTTCATGTTCTTCCAGAGTTCTGGCTCGTGCAATGTCACACACTGCTCTGCATGCTAATCCTTTCTATTCACAGTGATGTAAATTCGCTTCAATATCCGTAACTTCTTCGATTCGGGTGCTCATACTTGCATGTAAAGGCACATACATACACAATTTTTCGATTTTCTATTTGGCAATAAGCTGAAAATTAATGAGGCTTTGATCGAGTAGTGAGCTAACCTTTGTACTCAACTGCTTTTGTGTTTCAGCTTAAGGATTAAGTATATACTTAATGTGTTTGACTTATCGCTCCTTCGAAAATATTAAATTTGAGGTAAAAAGATAAGTTTTTAATCCTTTTCTCTTACTCGGATTTGCTCCATACGTAAGTGCTTCTACATAAATATCTAAATTACACTCAACTATGCACACTCAATATGGATACTCTCAAAACGTATTATTTTTGCATTATATAATATAAATACAAATTTTAAATCAATTAAAAAATAAATAAAACTAAAACAAGTAAGGAAGGGCTAAGTTCGGATGTAACCGAACATTTTATACTCTCGCAAAGTCAAATGGTATACTCGTTTGAGATTTCTTTGTGGATTGACAGATATTTTCGGTAGAAGGTCAACTATAGGCACTGGGGTCCACATATTTAGTACTTAGGGGTTTGAACAGTTTTGGTTCGATTTAGACAATTTTTGGCCGCAAGGTGACATACTTTAATTGCATTATTCACGCAAGGTTTTACCCCGATATAATCATTGTTACCTGATTTGCATAGTGGAAAGTGAAAGAATCAGATGGAATTGAAAATGGTGTTACATGGGAAGTAAGCGTGATTGTAGTCCGATTTCGCCCATTTTCGCACTATGACATAGAAACATGAAAAGAACGTTATGCACCGAATTTGGTTGAAATTGGTTGAGCAGATCTCAAGATATGGGTTTTCACCTAAAAGTGGGCTGTGCCACGCCCACTGACTAATTTTGAACGCGGTTCCTATAAAGCCATTTTATACCATCTCAGAGATAAAATTTAATGTCTCTGGCGTGTTTAGTGCTTGATTTATCGCGCTTTTAGTAGTTTTTAACAGTACCGTTATATGGGGAGTGGGCGGAGTTGCCACCCGATTTCAACTATTTTCACACCGTCAATAGAAGTGCTAAAAACATTTGCTTCTAGTGAATTTTGTTATTATAGCATTAGCGGTTTAGGAGATATGCACATTTAACCTATTAGAGGCGGGACCACGCCCACTTTTTAAAAAAAAGTTTTAACTGCAGATGCCCCTCCGTAATGTGATCCTGTGTACCAAATAACAGTCTTGTATCTTATTGCGGAGCTTAGTTATGGCAAGTTATTTGTTTTTGATTAATGGCGTTTTGTGGGCGTGGCAGTGGTCCGATAACGCCCATCTGCAATACCAACCGTCTCACGGTACCAAGAAACATGTCTACCAAGTTTCATAAAGATATTTCAATTTTTACTCAAGTTAGAGCTTGCACGGACGGACGGACGGACGGACGGACAGACAGTCGGATTTCAACTCGTCTCTTCATCCTGATCATTTATATATATATAACCCTATATCTAACTCGATTAGTTTTAGGTGATACAAACAGCCGTTAGGTGAACAAAACTATTATACTCTGTAGCAACAGGTTGCGAGAGTATAAAAATTTGCGCATTAGTAAAGTGCTAAATTTGATTTTCTAGTACAGGCTTACAAAAGTCGCATTACTTTATGCTGCCTTAAGCCATTTTCGAAAGCTCTTCTTTACTTTTAGTAAATATTTTATTTATGTCAATAGCTTATTCTATGCATCACTTTCTAAATGTTGACGACCGGAGTTACCCACATATAGTTTTCATTACCTTTAATTCTAGAACCATTGTTTGGTCCACTCGGGCATAGAAAAAAAGGTTTCGCTTCAGCTGTGCTTTTCACTCACATAGTCTCGAAAGGACTGCAGGACTGCAGCACGGTATGTTCACATTTCAAAGGACGAAGTATCAAACTTAGTTATCAATTCACTCTTAAAGATCGCAAACGGTGTTGACGTGCTGTATGATCAATTTTAAGCTCAAATTAAACTGAGCCTCCACCTGGCATTACTAAGCACGCTTTAAAAGTTCTAACGTAACACATAGGTTAGCCGTTATAACTAGATAAATAAGACCTCTTCTATGACTTTATTCCAAAACACACTATACGATACAAATCTTTCTTTTATTACCCAAAAAGTGCAAGCTAAAATATCTTGACGTTTTAATAAACTAAAGGTCTTTCACAATCATTTAAATGCTTTTTAAATTGCTAGCTTTTTATAACTTTCTATCGGAACGTGTATAAAAGGTGTCCTCATAGCGGTGATCATCCTCGTCGGCGAAGTCGCCGTAGTTATTGTTTCCACTCACGTGACCCTTCGCAGAGTCTGAAGACCAAGTATACGACGAAAGTGGAGAGTTGTTCGAGCCACGTCTAAATGGTGAAGAAACCGGGCTGTTGGACCATGGACGTGATGCCTCGCTATAACCCCTATTGGGAGGCGATGGACGACGATTACTGCCATAATTTTGATGTTGATTAGAGTGGAACGAAGACTGATGTTGAGGGTGCTGAGCGGGATAATGATGCTGGAAGTGATCGTGCGGCGGTTGCTGATTATGATCATGCTCGTGATAGTCTTCGTGATGAACTGTTTGTTGTTGTTGTGCGTTGTTGTCATTTGGACGATTTTCATGGTAGTGCTGTTGTTGTTGAAACTGGTTGTGGGCGAGTTGTTCTTGTTGTTGGGGCCGTTGTATTTGTGACGGAGGTTGTTGTTGTGGCGCCTGAGCTTCATACTCTTCTTCTTCAAACTGCTCGGGTGGGTATGGACGTTGCTGGTGATGCTGTTGATGCTGCTGGTAATGCTGTTGTTGGTTGATGCTGGTGGCGGAGTTTATTGTTTGATTGCGGTATAAATGCGTTGGATCATAAAATTCTGGACGTGGATCGCGATTAGCGGTAATTATTGTTGGAGTAGGTGAAAACGGAAAAGTATCGCCCTGATGGTTAGCACCGTATGCTTGATTGTTATTGTTGCTGTTCACGTTCTGGTTGTGTTGGTTCTGAATGACCGCCGCGCCAGCAAGATTCTGTTGTCCACTGTTGAGACCGTTAGTGCCATAACTGTATTGGGGTTCTGCAGGTCGGTGATTGCCATTATTGATACCACCGTAATTGTTATTGTTGTAATTATTAATGTGATTGTTGCTACTAGTAACGCCAGTGCCGCCAGCAAAATTATTGCCAACATTCACTGCACTCGACACACCAGCTGAGGCACCGCCGCCGCCGCCACCGCCACCTGCATGGCTGTACGGTGAGGTTTGCAGCGTCACACTAGCCAAACCGGGCGCTCCAGCCGCCACTGAGCTGCTGCCCGCCGATACCAAAGTCTCCGGCTGCACGACAATATTCGCGCCCGATGTGAACGCCGACGCTGGCGAACTGCTCTGCTCACGCGAGTTCATTTCCGCCAGCTTCGTGTTGCGATTGCGCACCATATTCGTCGTCATCACCATCACAGTGGGATTCATGGCCTCCATATTCTCCTTGAGGCAGCTCTGCAGCAGATTGACAAAGAAGAAGAATGCCAGTAATGTTAGTGCGTTCATTGTGGAGGCATTACTGTCGCTTGTGCTATGCTTCTTTTTAAATCCCTTGGTCGGCACGGTCGGATGGGGACGTGCATAGATCTTTGGCGGAGGAGGTGCATAGCCGCCATAACCGCTACCGGCTGTGGCATGATGTGAGTACGAGCCACCTGTGGGCACATGCACTGGCGCGGCAGGATGGTAATCATAACCGCCGGCTCCTGCACCATAGGGGGCACCATAACTGATATGCAGTTTAAGAAATAAGAAAATATCAATAAATAATTAGCTCCAGCCGCGATGGTTCTGATTCTTAGTACAACTCAGTACTTACCCATATCCGGACTGTCCAGTACCACCACCAGTGCCTGTTGGATCATCGCCCCAGCCAGTTCCTACGCCACCACCACTCGGGTATAAGCCATGCAAATTGGTTGCATCGCCCATCTCGCCCATTTCCGGTGTCATTGGGTACGTCATTTGATTTGGATATCTGGCGCGATCTTCAGCATTTCTGTAATAACATATAAGTAGAAGTGATATAGAGATATAACAGGCGAGTAAAATCATAACTGCTGGTGTTTAAAATATTAAGTATCCTCGTTCGAATTTTGATTGTGTTTTTGTTTCGTGCCTAGTGCAGAGGCACGCACTGACAATCCAGATGATATTCCCTTATTGCAGATGATATTCTCTTATTTACGGCATTCTAGTCTACGTAAGCGGAATGGAACTGGTCTCACATATATCAAATTAAGTATTGTCCCTTCAGTTATATTCTTAGAAACTATACGTGGAATATTTTATGTTCTTCCAACAACAAATGCTGATACATTCAACGCCGTTACATACCGTATTAGCGCCTTATCTCGTAAATTGTAGTACCATATTCTATTTTTTTAATGTTGTCTTGATAAAATTTTGGGTAGTTGCCCTTTAATACTTACGCGTATTGATCCATCTCAACGCCAGTGGCAATCAAAAAGGGATTCACCGACACATCACTGTATGTTGGGGCATGATTTGGGGGCAAGTTCTCATAGTCCTGAAACATGTTTACCCTTTACGGTGCGCTATTGTTTCCGTCCAATTATATAATGTTTATGTAGATACAACATTTGTTTGTAGGTCAAATGCAAGTCTCGACTTCTTCCAACTATAATTAAAAAGATTAGAAGTAAAGGCTTCTTATGCTTTAATATATTTTCATATAGAGAAGAAACGGAGTAAGATCCACGTACATATGTTTTTATGTATTTAATTGGGCAAAGCAAAATTACGTACTCTAAATTAAAATTTCACTAATCCGCACTAGTAAACACTTGTAAAAATCTACAACACAAATTTTGTTATAAAATATACTGCTGCTTTTATTCGACGTTGGAGTAAAATACATGTTTATTATTATTGTTACAATTACGCACAAAATGTGGTGTATAACAGCTAACCAGATATAGTATTCTTGTGGATCGTGCACAACAACTATTCCGGCGACTTGCTAAAACGAACACACGGCTATTAAGGAAAATTTTCCCAAATCACTGCAGATCACTGTTAAATAAATAAGTTTTGATGTTGTAGCTTGGTTGAGGTCATATCTGAGGCGAGACATAAGCGGCAGTACATAGTCAGTACATACATATGTATGTATATAATATATAATATATGTAATGTAATGTGTAAATGCATTCAGCACTATCTTACCTGGGTATAGTCATAATCAGGTAGTTGCACTCGCATGCACCATGCAATAAAAAATGCGTTGGATCATTAGAAAAAGTTTCCGAGCTAAATTTAGTAAAATGTGATTTCAAAAACTAATATATGAATGAATTAAAAATTGAGGCCAATTTTGATTTTTTCGAAAATTTTTTATTTTTGTTTTTTTACAAGTGAAAGGTATGAAGTGAAATTTTGTGGAAATTTTTTAGTTAAAAATGTAAATTATTTCATGCATGTATACATCGTCTATAATATTTCGATAATATATTTATGTATCACATCTGAAGGGACACTTGTTGGATTGTAAGAATAGCTGATCATCATGTCACTTTCAAGTTGGGTAGGGAACAACATTAGTAAATTATTTGGATATGGACTCAATATAGGATATACCTATGTATATTTAGAAATTGAAATTGTACAATAAAAACAATGTTAAAAAGTGGAGCAATTGTTTACTTTAGACTAAACTATGTTAGTAACGAAAATAAGCAAAGCCTATCAATATTCATAATCTATCAAGCAACACGTTAATTTCGGTTGCATTGAAGCTTTAAAATCGTTCACAAATACAAAAGGCTTCTTACAAATAAATGCTATAGCGATCCGATCTGAACAATTTCTACGGATATTCTATAACTGGAAATAACCCATGCCAAATCTGGTGAAAATATCTCATCAAACATTTACATATTACATAGAAGTACTTGCTTCCTATCGTTCAGTTTGTATGGCATTTCAGAACAATATCTCAAAAACTAAGGAACTAGTTTACGTATGTACATACAGACGGACAGACAGATCGATATGGCTAAGTCATTTATACAAGTATATGTATATATTTTATATGTTCTCCAACGTTTCCTTTTGAGGAAAAAAGTTTATATATATTCTGTTTAGGTTATAAAAATTGGGAGATTGGTTATTTCATTCAATCAGTTTATCGCTTTACAGCGCTTCAAAAATTAGCAAAGCTCGCTTTAAAGCCATTTTAAGGCCTAAATGATATCATAATATATTTTCTGTAATTTTTTAGTGCACAATAGCTCGAGAAAAAACCGCAATGTAGAATTTAAGGGGATCGTCTGTATACGCGCTCAAATTTCGTGCCGCCGATGGATTACAAAAAAATTATACATGGTACAAAAATGTTTCTACTTTCATGAATAATTCTTAAATTTGGATATAGAAAAAAAAAATTTTTTGCCTAACCCTGCCCGTGTCGCATACTGAAACGCACCACTCCCGGTGCAACATTGTCGACTTCTTGGCAAGAGTTTTCAGCTTTAAAATCGTATATATAGCCATACAACTTTTTTACTTAGAGTTTAAAAGCTTAGTTATGTCTAGATACACGCTTTTATTTGTTTACTTGAAAATCTTACGAAACATTAGGTGAAAAATCTAATAAAAAATTCAAAATAGCTCGTGTCTGAGTATAGCGAGGTGTTTTGTGCATTGTAAATAATTTACAGAATTCGAATATCTTTAATAGATTTTTCAGAGTCATGCCAAAGCTTAAAAAGAAAAGAAAATACTACTTTTGGGAAAACACATTTAGCAATAAATAACTCGGCGTGAATACCATAGTAAGCGTGAGCTGAGTTTGGGGCTCGATATCTCGTAAGCCAACAATGTTTTGATCAAATCATTCTTAAGTCTAAACATAGATCCAAACAACTATTTCTGTCGTGTAGTTTGCGATATAGAAGTATTGTAGAGTAGCAGATAAATCCATTTGTCAACAAACTTTGGAGAAGAGGAAACGTCGGAGACCCCATAAAGTATATACATATATGATCAGCATGATGAGCTGAGTTGATTTAGCCATGTCGCTCTGTCCGTCTGTCTGTATATATTCAAATTTTTTAAGCTATCGTTCTGAAATTTTGCATATGTCCTTTCCTCACTAAGAAGCGGCTCATTTGTTGGAACGGTTGATATCGGACCACTATAGCATATTTTCTAAGACAGCAATGTAATTTCCGAAGAAATTGTTCAGATCAGATCATTAAATCATATAGTTGCCATACAAAATGAACGATCGGAATGAAGGTATTATAAGAAACCATTGTATTGGTGAAGGATATTATAGCTTCGGTGCAACCGAAGTTAAGGTTTTTTCTTGTTAATTACTACAAAATATCAAAACTGACAACCCTGTGTTATAAAAGAGTAATCAGCTGACTCGCTTCTTCGGAAAAAATCCAATTTTCGCGGATATCCACGGTACACGGAGAGTAGAAACGAACGGTAAAAGGTGGTGAAGGTTCATTTACATTGCGCTCTCATAAGGGGTTAGAGGTAGTCAGAATTTTCAAGTTGTACCGGTAGTTATTCGACAAATAACAAAGAGCGCTCGGGCACTATAAAGCACTCGGGAGCAGGTAGCTAGTATTTCTGTACGAAAATCTAGTGTGAAACTTTAAATGCGTTTTTCTCAAAACTATGTTTTTTCAACTAGTGACAACTGTAACTCGAAAACCGCTCAGAAAATTTTAATGAAATTTATACAGCTTTTAGAATATATAATAAATAAAATTTCGATTTTTTAAGACCAATGATTGATTTTTTCCCAAAAATCTAGAACAAAAAATTAGCTGAGGCCGCAATTTTGTTAATTTTTAAAAAAGAAAACTTCGATCAAGCCCAGGATTATCTATTTATAAACTTTTTTTTCTGATTGATTTTAGATGAATCTTCAAAGACTTATGATTGTCACCGCAAGGACCTTTTTTTGGAACTGGGCCAAAACAGACAGCTATAACTTTGGAAATTAAATTTTAATTTTTTTTTGAAACCTTTGGGACTTCAAGTCAAAACATTGTATAATAACGCCATATTACTACTTTCGTAAAATAACATAATTTAATTGCAAAAAAAAAAATTACTGAAAATTCTAATTTTTTCGTGCCTCTGCCTCGTGCCTAACCCCATAAGATAGGTCGTATCAGCTGATTCGGTCTGCGGTTTTGCGTGGGTCACTAACCGAAACATGACTACCTCTCGTGCTTCAACGACGCTTACATCGCATATTATGTGGCACTCACCACGCGACTTTTTTTATTCATGAACTCTTTCGAATGCCCGAACCGAATAATTCAAAAAGTTATATAAAGGTATTGAATCAGTCAGGATTAATACGAAGATACAAATAAAAAGCTTTTACAGCGGCGGCATTTTAATTATTATTATTTTTTTATTGAAAGAACACTCATTGTAATGAAGTATAATGGTTAAGCATATGCTAACGCGACATTTTTTGTAGATAATTATATGTACTACAAAGTCGTAGTACATTATTTTATTATTTTGTTCCATAATATAATAGTATTTGCAGCGCACTGGTTTTAATATTATCATAGATTAGTAAAATTTATTTTTTTAGATAACGAAATAACTTTATGTGTATTAATTTTCCAATAGCTTTATCATTATTTACTCTCGCAAAAATGGAAACAATAGACGATTTATATTACAACAAAGTCAATTTTTTTGAGACTAACCTTTTAAATTTGTATTTTATTATTTAGCTGATAATGTATCCATTGTTAAAAACTCATATTACAAAATATTATCCAATGCAAATATTTGCATAACAATCTAATAAAGATTTCCAAGAGCATTACACTAATATTTTTAGTAAATTTAGGCAAATATCTTGAATTGAACTTGATAAACACCACTTGAAATTCATTATATTACCATATTTAACGGCAATTCTTTATTATCAAAATATATTGTTAAGTCATACTTTAAAACCAACAAATATAGACTCAAACTTCCAGATAAGCAGATTACAAGACAACAAGTAAATATCCTAAGCAAACAGCCGCACACCCACATGCGTAAACACGGGTTCACGTTAGCTAAACAGCACAAATAATTATCAAGTATAAATGCACTTCGACTCAAGTTGTGAAGTCGAGTCAATTCCCCGACTACAAATTTCCGAACTGGCTTGAGAAGTGCTCCGGGCAGAAGTGAACAGCAGCCACTAACCGCCAAACCAAGAGTCGTCAGCCGCCAACGCGAAACCACAATTGACAATGTCGTGTGGACGACTGAGGCAGCGGCGACGGTGACGGCGACAGAATTTTCAAGTTGGAGGTGAGCAAGCGAATGTGTAGAAGCACATACATGCATGTGCGAAGTGTCTTCACACTAAAATTTCACAGACAATTGGTGGCAAGTGATGCAAATTACACGCTGGTGGTTGTTGTAGCGCTTGCCGTTGCGGTTGCACGCACGCACAGCTTCATAATCTGTCACACATACATATGTACCGATAACAGTAAACGTTTATGCACATATTTATTCAATTGCAAGCACGCTTTTAGGCTGCCCTGCGCCGCCCAACCGCCTAAGTGACCCACACGCACACACAGATACATGCACTCATTGGAATTGGAGCGCGGAGAGTTGAGACATGCATGACAATAGCCGCAATACCAGCCAATACTAGCAAACAGCCAGCGGAGACAACAACACACAATTGGAGCAAGCAATAACTGTAGCAATAGCAATAACGAGTGCCCGACTACACGCCACTCCACCGCAACGGCGCCACAAGTGCTACATGTGCACCTGAGTGCTTATCTAGGCATGAACTCGAAAACATCAAATGCATGGCAATTGTGCCGCTGCGACGCCTAATGCTCTCTGCGTTCAGCTCAAGAGGTACAACTGTTAACACAATTTCTAATTGTTGTAGCTGTTGCCGCATGGTGTGACAGTTGGCACCGCACCGGTTGGCTGATTGCTGCGCCCATTTTGCTTGTTGCCTGCCAAGCAGCTAAATGCAGCAATACCCTACCCGCTCTGTTCACACTCCGGTAAACTGTCAATGCTCAATGGGCTTCTGGCAAATCGCCACTTGACCATGAAGTGTTGATGGCTCACAAAAGTGGTTGACAGTTGCAACATTGTAATGCCAGCAGGGGGGAATAGTATCATTGTTCTAAACACAAACTCAAGCGAGGAATATCTAAGCAATAGGTCCACTACCGAAAGACGTTGAAACTAATTATGTAAACTAGGTATTATGCTATTACTTAGAAATTCGGTTGGAATTCTACTATTGGTTCGAAATCTTGATCACAAACTCTCTTAAATAATAAACGTAAAGGAAACATATGAGAAGACGTAACTTAATTGGTGTTGGAGTTCAGCGATTACCAAGCGATAGCTCTAATGTTAACCGTTAGTAAACTAATTTTGATCGGTGAAGTATTGTTCTAGAAATACTTTTATGCTATGAGGCAATCTTGGGAGACAAACATATTAACGGGTGTCTTTTTTCTAGGCATAGAACTTAAAGTTGGCATTACTGTTCAAGATGGCGACCGATTTAACAGCTGTCAAGTGATTTATTCTCAGTTTGGTTTGGCAATTCTTCATGAATAGACTCACGCCT